TTTACAACGAGAGTTGGAATTAGATTCGGAAAGAATTCATTGAATGAATTGATTAAGACTATTGAGAGATAGGTTAATCGGTTTAGGAATTGTGATAGTGATCGTTAATGCATTTGATATTTTAATCTATTAGGTTGAGAGATTGATAGGTTAAATTATTGGATAGTGGATTTAGGACTTGGAAGAGCCAAATCTGATATTAAAACTTGAGGTCCCCGATTAGTGTTCGATATTCGTAGATTTTCTATCCTTAGAAACAATCTCTGCGTGTTAAGGTTATCCCGAAGCTACGGAGGTTTAGTTATGTGATTTACTTAGTTTATTTATTGCTTTATTTTCGGTGTTCATCTATTTCATCTACTATTTGCTGATCTGAATCTTAGTCGAGTCTTGTTCTTAGTGTTATCTATTCCCTGTGTTCGACCCTGGTACTACAGTTGATCCGTATCCTTGGGATATTCGTTGTATCTAGGTTTTTATTACTTGAGCTTATTTCTATACCTAGATTTGCGTGATCACATGCATTTTAACGAATAAAATCAAGTAAACATGCAACAAGCACGGTGATATATAAAGAACCAGGCTCTGATACCACTGTTGGAATTCGCTACGGGTTCCTACCATGCGACTGATGGGATTCCTGTGATCTTTAGAGCGAATTCTATTCCTAAGAGATCGATTCTAGGGTTTGCGCAACGGATATAAAACAAAAATTTGAATGAAACCCTAGAACCATGCTTCTATGAATCGTAGAAACGTTAGAACGCTTATCTCAATCGATCCGGGGCATGTATCAATTGAAGAATTCGTCTGATCACGAAAGGGAGAAAGAATACCTCGCCCTCTACACGTATCCACACCTCGGGATGGATTCCAACGATTGGAACTTGTCTGCTAGGACCCGAATCTGCTATTCGGTTTTGTGCTTCGAGAAAACGGACTTCGATCACACTCTCAAGCTCTTCGATCTTACCAAAAGTCTGTCAAAAGTGTTCTAAAGTCGGCTCACAAGTCGCCTCTCTTAATTAGGGTTTTAATCTCCTTCTTATAAGGTGATTTAACCCTAATTCGGTCTAATTTTCGAAAAACCCGAAGCCTGGAACGGACGGTCCAGAAATGCACGTGGACCGTCCGTTCCAGCACGTAGAACGGACATTCTGGCATTAGGGGCTCTGGAACGGACAGTCCGTTCCAGACCTTCTGGAACGGACAGTCCGTTCTGGACCGTCGGGTCTGGCTCGGCGGACCGTCCGTTCTGGACTTCTGATCCGTCCGTTCCAGACGCCCTCTACACGTATCCACACCTCGGGATGGATTCCAACGATTGGAACTTGTCTGCTAGGACCCGAATCTGCTATTCGGTTTTGTGCTTCGAGAAAACGGACTTCGATCACACTCTCAAGCTCTTCGATCTTACCAAAAGTCTGTCAAAAGTGTTCTAAAGTCGGCTCACAAGTCGCCTCTCTTAATTAGGGTTTTAATCTCCTTCTTATAAGGTGATTTAACCCTAATTCGGTCTAATTTTCGAAAAACCCGAAGCCTGGAACGGACGGTCCAGAAATGCACGCGTCAAAATGTCATATCACGGATCATCCTAGAGCATCACAACCAACAAGTATAACCCGAAATCTCTATTTTGGATATACAAGTCGTAGGCGGTCTCTAGCAAGACACTATGACTACCTATCTCGAATAGAGTTTGTTCGTGATCCTACGAACTCCAGTGATGATTCCGGCTGATGATCCTTTTGTATCGCGATATCATATGTCGAACATAAGGCATGGACAAGCCACCTTATCTGATTCGACTGCTTTCTCGTTCGCTGAGTTCGACTGTCTGAAATAGACGACGTTCGTCTATAGTGCGGCCACACATTTCTACAGTCTCGCTCACACGAGGGGCCCAGCGATATCTCTCTCTTTTACGAGAGGTACAAATCCCGTCTTGACTATCTACAATCCAGCACATGATTTGTTTCGTACCTGATACACGCCTTTATAGTCCTCCTGTTACGCAGGACGTTTGACGTATTCAAAGCACACAACTCCTCATGTTGGATTCTGTAGATATCTCAGGTCTTAGGATCCAATCATGGAACCGCCATATGAGATTCAAGTCATGACGCTAGTCCATGTGACAATCTCATGTGGGTCAATCCAGTATTCCATTCTCTAACGAATACCTATGACTGTGATCGTATCCAATACCTATGACCAACGCTATGATCATCAATCACACATCATACTAGTCTTATTATGTCGTTATTCCCATAACGACACAAGACTAGGGAGTTTATTATCATTCATAATGATACATGGATTTCATAACAGATCTAGTATGCAAGAACATGTAATGAATCAAATACTCTAATAAAACCATAGAAAGTATCAATACATCAAATGTATCTGAACAAAGCTCATAAACAGTACATCATAGAGCACTAAACCAACAACGATCACATCGATCTAGGGTTTGGTTTCTAGGTTTCATGCAGTGGAAGAATAATCTAAAACCTAGTCAAACGTCATACGCAACCAAACGTACAAAAGAACCCGAAAGAATGTGTATATCACCGAGGGTATCGAATACTTACCTCTATATCAATCTGGGGCACGTTTTAATCACCTAGAACTGAAAATACAGCTCCTCTACACATATCCACACCGGTGGGAAGGATTCCAAACGGTTTGGAACGGATCTGCTAGGATTTGTGAAGAGAAAACGAAGTCCGGGACTTGAAATCGATATTCTGGGCTTTAGAACTCAAGAAAACTCTTCTCTCAAGCTCTAGAATGAGTCTGGGATGTCTAAGGTTGATTCACTAGGGTTTGGGGCGACTCCCATGCTTAGGTTGCCAAAACCCTAAAATTCGGACCGACCGGTCTAGTTCCTAGACCGGTCCATCTGGCCTTCGGTTTGGACCTCTCAGTCTTGGACATCAGAATGGCTAGATCGACCGGTCTAGAGCCAGACCCGACTGATCTAGCCGTCTAGAATACTTCCATCTTCCGATGCTCGTTCCGACATCCCGTATTCTTTCTCGCATTCAACTCTTCACATATAGTTCATCCCTAATGGTGTGTGACCCTGTAGGCCCATTCGCAGTGGTAGTGACTTCGGAAACCTTTCCCGAATCACAAATCGTGGTTAGTCTCTATCAAGACGCCATGACCACCCACATTGAATTGAGTTAGAGGTGATCTAATGTAGGCAATAACAGCTCAAGTTCTGATCCTTTGTCTCACGATATCATATGTTGAACAAGGGCATGGAATGAGTCACCCTTCAAGTTCAACCGCTTTCTCGTCTTGGCAAATCGACTGATAAAATAGATGCAACTTCATCTATAGCGTATCCACGCGTTTTCACAGTCCGACTTCCACGAGAGAGCCCACTGATATCTCTCCTGTTAAGGAGGTGATAAGTCTCGTATCGCATGTCTATTATCTCCATATGATTTGTGAACGTATATGAGCAACGACGTTATAATCATCCAGTTAAAGACGACGTTTGACCAGTCAAGATACACCATTTCTTATATCAGATATTCTAGACATCTCAGGTCTGAAGTTCTAAGAACGAACTGCTACATGAGATTCAACTCATGACTCTGTCCATGTGGCAATCTCATGTGGGTCATCCAGTCACTCGTTCCCAACGAGTATCATGATTGTGATTTGTATCCAATGCATCAATCACACCTCATGTTGGTCATGATTCATCATTGTTCCCACAATAATAACTGACCAAAGAGTTTAAAATCATTTTATAATGATTCAAGAATACCAATATATAACGATCATCCAAATTATATAAAGGAAAAGTAATGCATTCATAAACCAAATGAATCAATAGAATGTCATATGTTATATCACAGATCATCCTAGAGCATTACAACCAACAAGAACTAGGTTCAAGGAGAATACAAAATTGTAACTAACGGTTCAACATTGTCAAATATAACCCAACTTATTCTCATTATGAGGTAATATTCTATAGAAAAAAGTAATTATATGGCTTTAAGTTAGAAGACTTAAAAAGTTAAGAAATTTTTAATGGTTTCTGAATTTGACATTATCAAATAGTGTATCTTTAGAGATGACACTCTTAGGAAACCACCTATGTGAAAGTGAAGTGTGAACCGCTTCAAGGAGAATAATGATGGTTGGTCAGTTCTCTACGGTTTCATAAAATCAGACAGGTGTTCATAGGTGAAACGAACACAACAGTGAGAACCAAAGACGGTTAACAATTAATTGTGTGGTTTAGATTGTCTTGGTATACATTAAAAACCGACGGTTCAAAGATATCGCATCTACCGATTGGTGAGTATATCCGATTTAAATCCACTATGGAAAGTTCAAAGGGAAACCTACTGATCCAGATGCAATTAGTTCTTCATAGTTGAATCACAAAAGGTTGCATGGTTTAAAACAATTTTCTAAAATTCTCTATTTATGTGGGGAATTGTTGAATTTTTTTTAAATTAAATGAAATAAAATATTTTTGTATGTTATTCTCCCCATTATGTTTTTAAAACTTAAAAATATTTATGACTTTTGAAAGTTTTATAATTTTTTAATCCTATAAACAGAAACATTGTTTTCATGTTTTACACATAAAAAAACACCAAGCAAAATTAACTATGTATGAATATGATATATAAAATAACATACCCAACATAGACTACGACAAAAAAATGTTCCAATCAACCAACAGATCGTACACGAGTCGCTACAGGAAAAGAGCAACTTGGAACACAAATGCGATCAATGAGAACCAAATGCGACAAAAAAAAATGTTTCAAAATTCATAACGGGATTCTTCAAAGGGAAAAGGGGTCTTAGACAGGGAGATCCACTCTCTCCCTATTTATTTATCCTTGCTGTGGACGTTTTCTCACGAATGTTGGATAATGTTGCTAAGACGAACCGCATGAAACTTCACCCAAGATGTAAAGACCCGATGATAACACATCTGATCTTTTGCAGACGATGTGATGATATTCACCGAGGCAAACAAGGAGTCCCTGGAGGAGATTAAAAGAGTTATTACATCCTTCAGCCGAATTTCGGGCCTTTTCATGAACCAGGATAAATTGGAGATCTTCTTTAGTGGATGTTCAAGCGCAGAAAGATCAGACTTACTTGAGACATCTGGGTTATCTGTCGGTTCCCTGCCAGTCAGATATTTGGGAGTCCCGTTGAGTCCTAGCCGGGTCACCAGTAAAGATTTCCAGCCACTGATTGACAAAATCAAAGCCAAAGTAGCGAATTGGACAACAAAATTCCTCTCTTCAGCGGGCAAGATTCAGCTGATTGCGTCTGTCATTTATGGTCTTGTCAACCCTTGGAGTAGTGTTTTCCTTCTTCCGAAGTGTGTAACCAGAAAAATTGATGGGATATGCTCTTCATTCTTATGGAAGAAAACTAATTTTGTTTCTTCTGTGGCAAGAGTAGCGTGGAATACAATCTGTTCACCAAAGAGGGAAGGAGGACTTGGGCTTAGGAAACTACAAGATATGAATCTCGTGTTCCGATTGAAGCAGATTTGGGCCATCTTCGCGAAAACTGAATCTCTATAGGTTGCTTGGTTGCTTAAGAATCCGTTGAAGAAACGAGGCTATTGGGATACTATGCCAAGTCCGCGGCACTCTTGGACCTTGCATAAACTTCTCAAACTGAAGGAAATCGTCTGATCCTTCCTGTCATTTGAGGTGCGAGATGGAAAATCAGCTTCTTTCTGGTTCGACTCATGGACACCTTTAGGGCCGTTGATTGAGTTTATAGGACATAATGGCCCTTCTCTCCTCCGTATCCCTCGAAATGCCAAAGTGAATGCGGCATGCCGAGGAGGCGGTTGGTATCTCCCGGGGGCACGTTCTGATAATATTCAGCGATTGCATGAGACTCTATCTTCGAAGGAGGTGCCAACGGACGCAAAGGGCTCTGATATTATCCATTGGAAACAGAAAGAAGGCTTATGTCAACCATTATTTCGATCTGGAAAGACATGGATGCTCATCCGAGAATCAGGTCAGTTGGTCGCTTGGTATCAGATTGTGTGGTTCAAGCTCTCAGTTCCTCGTCTGGCATTTATACTTTGGGAGGCTATCTTAGAAAGGCTTCCAACTAAGGATCGATTGATGGGATGGGGAATCTCACATGATGCTACTTGTTTACTATGTGGAACTCGGGATGAATCACATCATCATCTCTTCTTTAGTTGTGATTATAGCTCCTCAGTATGGTTGGTTTTCTCTTGCGAGCAGGATATGGGCAAACCCGCCCGATAGCTTGGCTGATTGTATCTCTTGGATCCTTAATCCCGCGCATGAACGTGGTCGTAGTCGCTTCCTGCTTGCACGGATCCTACTACAAACGGCTGTGGAAGCAATTTGGAAAGAACGTAATAACCGCCTATTCCGAGATCTTGCTAAGCCACCATCAGTTCTCGGTAGAAAGATTGACAAAACTGTAAGAAATGTTCTTCTCCATGAAGTCATCCGGAACCGAAGTTCCATCTCATCGCCTCTACAAGATTGGTATTACCTCGAGATATCCTCTTAACACTTCATCGATTAACTTTTATATGTTATTCCATTTATCGGGACTTTTGTTTTCCACTTGCCATGGATTTGTGTAGTATTGTGGATGAATGTTATTTTGTAAATTATTATATATAATATGATTCACATTTTCATCAAAAAAAAATGCGATCAATGAATACGAACCTGGTAACGATGCATAACTCGGAATCGAGGAGGGAAATGAAAGAGAGGGAAGATCAGGAAAACGAGTCGAGCATCGAGAATTATGGGGAGAGAGTGAGGGAGCGAGAAACTCGGTGCTCGACTCGCTCTCTCTGTGATTCCTCTTTCTTTTTTTCTTTTTTTCTTTTTTTTTTTTTTTTTGCTTCGTTTTTTGTTTGCCCGCTCTTCTCGTTCTTTTTCCTTCTGTTTATATTGTTTGCGAAGCTGTGATCAAGTCAATACGAGTGTACTGTATCTAACGAATTTTGACCGTTGATATTAAAGATTATGAAATGGACGGATACGATGGGATCCAGTGATTGAGGTTGGTGGGAGCTGGTGACAGAGAGTGGTCGACGACCCATTTGTAAAGTTATCTTTGGATTCATATTTTCTGTTTTAAAAAATATTATACTCATTAGATTTTATATTAAATTTGATGTGAATGAATCTGGATTTCCAGTATTTCTTGATAAAAAAAAATATATTTTCCAGAAAAAAATAATAGTTTTGTATTTGGCTTAGATTCGTCTTTAGTTAAGATTTATCTATTTCATTTTATTATATTGAATTCAATTCAAAATCAAGTATATCTTAAGCACGATCGAAATATTTAGTCCAAAAAATTACAAACAAACACCAAACATTTTGCATTTATCACTTGATATAAACCTCAATTTTATATCCCTATTATCTATCTTCCACAATTCAACGCTTGAATTTTGTGGAATGGCCATAAATTCGCCCTATCAAAATTGAAAATTAAGGAGGTTTTTCCATTTTTTTCTTAACAAAAATTTAAAATCCATATTTTTTTTTTCAAATTTCTGAATATAATCTACGCAAATTAGTGTTTTTTTCCTTTTTTTAATACCCGTCGAATAATACAACAATTAAATAAAAAAATTTAATAAAAACACTAATAATGAAGGGCAATGGCCAAAAAAAGCCGTTAGTAACTGAGACCGAGCTGAAGACCAAAAACAGAATGGACGAGGAACAACGCCATAATGCTGCTCCCAAGAATCCCATGTACTTTCCTCAATCCTGGATTGTTCTGAAGAATCAAAACAATGAAATCCTCATATATATATATATATATATATATATATATATATATATATATGCGATCCTAATCCGTTTATACTGTGGACAAAAATAAATATGCGAAAATCGGATACTAGAGATATTCAACCACGGATATCCGATTTATGGGTACTTGAATACCCGTAATTAAAAATCGCCGTATCCCGAGGAAGAGTTCCACCACACTGGTGTACTGCAGACAAACCTTATCTGTATAAAATTGTCTAAGTGGTTGCTAACGACATATATATCCTCCTTAATTTTCAATATTTACCCTTTTACATTCATTTCTTCGAGATCTGATCTCGTTTTCAATATTATACATTTTTTTGTTATAAATATATTTTTCTAGTAATTTCGGTTGAGTCTAAATATGTTTTTTTTTTTAAATTTCGGGTTAGTATACCCAAAAATTTTGTCGATACTTGTACTCTGAATACTTGAGACCTTCGGGTACAAATATGAACATCAAATTATGACACATGATATAAACGGATTTATTTGAGTACCCTAAATTTTTCGGATACCCGTCCCGTGGACATCCCTAGCTGTTTTTACCTCGAACAAAGCGGGTAAGATCGTTTGTATCGTCAGCAGGCCAAGGCCGACGAATCCCGTCACCGCATGTGGGCTGCATCAAATCGGTTAATTTTCTGCCGAATTCGGAATCTTTTAGATAGTAAATGAAACAGAGATGGTGAGAAGAAAGAAATTGAGATAGAATCACCTTTCAAAGATGGGTTTGTCGGATGTAAGAAGGGCAGTGATACCACCGGTTGCTCCGAGGGAGAAGAAGAAAAACATCCCTCCTAATAGCTTCGGGTGCAAATCTTTCGCCTTCGCTTTCTCCTCCTTCCATTTCGATAAACAAAGAACGATGAATCGACCGCTAATATATCGTAACAAGAAACTGTTTTATTGAGATTGCGAGAAGATTAGCATTCTTACAATGTCGTCTGAATATCGGATCCGGAAGCCAAGATACGTTCCGTATCCGCCCATTGCGAAAAGCACCACGGCCTAAGAAAACGGAGGGAGAAAAAGAAAAACCATTTCATGAACTTTTACATGAACTTTCATCCTATCCAAAAAGGGTTCAAATCTTTCCTGAATCATGGACTTTGATCAAATTCTTCAATAGGGTTTGTGCGGTTTATACACACGCACGCACATATATATCGCTGAATCATGATAGTAACTCGAGGATAGTAAACGACTAAAAACATGGAGAGTTCACATAATGCTAGAGTTTATGCAAACTCTATAGATACATGAACTATCGATAATTCCCGATAAGTAATGAGAGGTTATACCATATTCCCGGGATGGCCCCAATGAACGAGCCATTCAGGCAGATTCCACGATTGTACGAGCTCCACAAAGGGTCCGAAGAGAGATCTTACAGTTGCAGCTGTTGTAAAGACACGACATGAAAACCAAACAATCCATCAAACCATAATGCCCAAATCAGACAAAAGAGAAACAAGACGACATTTCGAAGTTGAAACTTCTATGTCATGAACACTTCCTCTGTTTATTCAAAGCCATCACTCAAGTTCATGACATCAAATTATCACTATCTTTCTCACCAATTACAGTCGTATTAAGTCTTCACATAACAATCGTACTCACGAAAACGTGAATTTGTGACACTCTTAAGCAAATACGAAGTCTGCAATCCTATACATTCTGTTCTTGTTCATATATGTCCAGCCATATATACACAGTTATGTATGACTCAAATGTATAAAAACATATACAGACGCCACAGCTACATATAATGTATGACTGAGCTCTGAGATCGGAGTAGAGTAGATGAATTGGAGTTACCTCCTGGGAGAGAAGCCACAACTAAGAGAGGCAAAGGAGATACAGACAACAACAATGTCTCTCTAATCTCTTCACCTACGCTCTCACTCGCATCATCTTCCTCTCTCTCCTCGTTCTTCGAGGAACACGCCGGAATCAACGGAATGCTTCTACGGAGGGAGGCGGACAGCGCGGGAAAAGAGGACCCAGATGGGATTTTGGAGAGACATTGGCGGGAAACCGGAGATGGAGCGGCGGGGAGTGATCGCAGTGAGGATTTGCGGCCGGAGAGGGTGGAGGAGAAGCTGAAGCAGGTGAGAGTTGCCATTTTTCCGGTGGAGGAGCAGAGATTTTGAGGCTCTGTCCGGTGATGAAGATATGTATTTGGCAAGTGAGGAAAAGGTAGGGGACGAGATGAAGATGATGGGTGAGGAGGAAGAAAAGGTGAGGAGAGGGACACGACAATGAGGGCAAACGCCGTCGTTTTACGCTTTTCCACGTGGCCACAACACGCTCAGGAATTGGGCAAATGGAAACCGGGAATCATTTTGGCATTTGATTTTCTTGGTTAATCTTTATTTGAAACTTTTTAAAAACAACATACTAATTTTTAAAAAATACCAAACTTTACTAAAGATCATATAAATATTTCAATTCCCAAATTACCAAATAATTATCATAATAAAGTCAATTTATTCCAAATAAATACCAATGTGATATCTCTTTTACACAAATTATCGCCCTCATCAATTCAAGTTGTTATCGATTTGATATTTATTTCATACAATTTGATCAAATTGAGTTATTTATTTAACAATTTAGAAATTAAAATTTCTCTATGTCATATCTAGACAAATTTTGGTATTTTTATGAAAATTTACCAATTTTTTTATACTAGATTTGACTTGGTTTTTTAAAATAGTTTATATTTGGCTTCTATGTATAAAAATTACTTTGTTTTCAAACGAATTTAGTTTTATTATTATTATTTTCACATTTAATTCGAAGTTCATCAGTATCATCAAAATATATGTGTATATTTCAACCGTCTTTTAGTAGATTAAACATTTGTTTTTTTTTATCAAAGATTTAAACATTTGTTCACTACTATTGATTTTTCATAAATAATTTCAACCATCGAAATATAAAAAATAGATCTCAACTATTCGGTTATAGATTAAATAATGGATTTCAATTATCTCTCTCTCTATATATATATATATGAACACAGTCGTCCGTTTGCAAATTATATAATGAATTCGATGTAACAAATTTGATGTAAACTGTCGATTTATCAAATTCGATATCAACCTATCGATTTATCATTTATTCGATCTCAATCGTCGAAAATTAATGCTCGTCTCAATTCTCCCTTAAAGATTCAACTTCGACCGTCGATTATCTGATTGTAATTATTTGTCATAAGTATAGTATAAAGCATCGCCGTCGATTTTTGTAGATATCAGCCGTTGGTTTTTTTAGATATGATCTCAATCATAAAATTCAGTAGTAAAAAAAATCAATATTTGATCACAATCATTTGTCTTCATATTGAACACGAAACGTCGATTATCTACGTATTTCATCTCTACCGTCGAATTTGGTGAATCGATCCCCAATCGTTTAATAGTAGATTTACCATCGATTATTAAATTTTCGAATTCGATCTAAACTGTCAAAATATAGTAATAGATCTTTCGCTGTACAATTCAATATTGATCATCGATTATCAATATTAGTCTACTAGATCACAACCATCTGCCACCATAATTTATTTTGACTGTCGATTTATAATATTTGAACACAAATGTCTGTCATAAATATCAGTAATAACCATATATTTAATTTTGGGATATCCGTCAATTTTTTATTCGATTTGTACCGATTGATAAAAGATATGTCGACCAATTTTTTTTCTATTTGTCTATGTAGTGACTCAAACCAAGTCACGGCAAACTTTGGATATCTGTTGTAAATGTCCAATTGCAATCCATTGAGTGAAACTTCATATGCAACGGTTATCCGTTGAACATTTCGTTGATATATTTCAATAGGCATCTTTCTCTTGATATTATGTTATAATTTTCAACTGATTAACGGATATATCTATTACATCTGTTGAAATGTTGTTGATCGTCGTTGTTGTGATGTCCGTAACTCGTGTCCCGCACACGAGTTGCATTAAATGGACAGAAAACCATATATACAAAATTCGTATTATAAAAAACGCACGAATTTAAAACATTTTAGTTTTAACATACGCAATGGAAATATATATATACATAACAAACCCAAGTATGTCGTAGACATATACAACGGATAACATAAGGGTGGTAAATACCAATAAACACAAGATCAGTATACATCACCGAGCAACAAAAGAAACAGTATATGTCAGGGAAGAAAATATACATGATCCAGCAAGCCGTCAAACGTCACCAGTGCCCTCGTCCTGCTGCTGCTACAATAACTCCGAGCTTGAAATGTTGCATAACAACGTTCATAAGCTATGTGCTTAGTGAGAGTCTCATATTAAATCTGAAGATCGTACTCACATTGCAAATGGTCGAACAATGATAATTTATATAATATATACAGTATAACATGTAACAATAATATAACTCAATTAACAGTCACTCAAATATCAAGCACAATCAGTCCAAATGACAAGTCATCGGACAACAATCGTCAAATCGTCTCTATGTGCGTCTCACACATAGGATGATCAATGGACCTAGATATCACCAGTCCGGAACGTATGAAAGTCATAACTCGACCCTCTGGCTCTATCACTGATACCGTCAAATCATCTCTACGGATGCATCACACATCAGGACTCTCCATGTGCATCGCACATCCACTCACTCTCCTCGGTAGAAATCAGAATAATAAAAAATACACCAATCAGACCCAACACTTCATGAAAACATATCACACACAAATCATCCCATCTGATAATGATATCACCCCTCGATATCAGAGTGTCAGGTGTCTCCTCCAAGCCACCACCGACTATATCGAGCGAAGCCAGTCATCGACTGATAACCTCTCGCAGGCCATTCGCCACGGAAATTCTCGTCAGGCCCAAACTCAAATCCTTTAGAGTAATTCTATATAACCTCGTCGAGAGAATCACTCAATTGCGAGTCTCTGGTCAGTGTGCCAAGCTTTGTCAGAAAAATTACTCCCGAACCCGTTCCATAGCAAGTGGAATGTCGATGTAGTTACAATGTAACCGTAACATGTTTCCTCATCCCGAAACAATCTTGAATCACTCGGTGACTATCTACGTGAATCATTGACTCCAAGCTCCGCACATGGGCAATCAATCATAATCATGTCTCCTCAATATAAACTCGACTCGAATCAAGGGTCATAAAGAGGAGATCCAAATATAGCAATCATCGTGATATCAAAGAACTACCCGGTTACAATCACGCATTTGACTATTCCCAGACCCATCCAGAAATAATCTCCCGCAAAATCTCCACTTACACAAAATCAGACATTGGTTCTTACTAATCATACACTCACACATCCTTTAAATAATCCTTCTTATTTATTCATTCTTATTTAGGTTCATTCAGTTATTTAAGCCTTCGGAATGATTATACTGGGTCTCGGCCTTCCCAGATTACCAAATACAATCGCTTCAAGGATACACTTAGCGTTATAGGGTTCCATTAAGGTTTACATGAAAATCCGGGTTCAG